CGCCCCCTGCCTCAAGCCTCTACCACTTCCCTCCACTACCCTCTGAATTAATATTGCATTTATTCTTACAAGTCTTGGTCTCTAATTCATTTAGTCTGGCTTTAACATCATAAAAGGGGGAGCATTCAGCAGATGAAGATAACATCCCAGTTTGCCTTTTTGTTTTAAGGATGCTTGATTTAACTTTACAAGCCAAAATAAGTGAAGCAGAATTAGATTCATTTATCACAAACTCATTGGGAAAAGAACAATAACATAAAAGGAGAAAGAAAAAATCCCTTGCTTTGGAACTTTTATCCCCTATTTTCTATAAATAAAACAAAACCTTCTTCACACTAAAAAATAGTCTGGGTAAAACCAAGTATGAAAGATACACTTGCTTCTCTGCCTCTCAGCAAACCCTTCAGACTTCATGACTCTCAAGAGGAGAGTTAGAGGTCCTTCTGCTTGCCTGGCATTAAACAAAAGAATTGTTAACTTTCCGAAAATCTGATGATCATGGAAAATTTAACTACCAGACAGGCTGCTTAGAAAGCATTTTGCTGTCACTGTCAACTAACCTGATGTACTCCAGTTTTTCAGTTTAACCATACATGTAGTTTACTTGAAATACCATTTGTTGTTGCAAAGACTTAGCATTCACAGGTTGTTCATTTGATTGAGCTATCAGCAATTCTAGCCTTCATAAATAAAGTACTTTCATAATACTATAGATTGTAATTGTATGAATCCCAATTCAGCTAGAAATATTTGCAAATTTGGACAAATGTGATTAAGCATGAATTTTTTTGAATCTCAAGGTTTCAATCAAAATAATGCAATTAATTTGGGCTAAAGGTTCTACATGACATCCCATTTTAGATTTAATATATTAAAAAGTTCTAGCATTAAGAAATCATTCCGTGAGGCAAATCAATAAAATGAAACCAAAAATCTCAAAACCTTACACTTGATTTAAGATTTTTTAAAAAGTGAATAATGATCAACTAAGTCAAGTGAAAATCAATTTTAACAAAAGATTCACAAAAGGATTTAGGAAGTTAACACAATCATATAACTTCATCTCTAATTTAAGTTATATTCTTAAAAACACGAGAAATACCTTTGCCTCTCAAAATATTTGTGCTAACAAAGAAAGAGTAATATAAACATGCAGATTGCCTCAAGTTCTTGTTTTACTTAAATATCTATTTTCTATTCAAACACAGCTTCTTAATTTTTATTAGTTTTCCTATGATATCTCAAATGACAGCATCCTTAACTATTTAAATGTTTTAAGTATATTATGAAAATAAACTGGAGACTTGTCAGACTTGATGATTACATTATAAATGCAAAAAATTAAAGTCCCCAATTTTTATTTCAAAAAGAAGCAGAATAGAAGGATCCCTGTTAAAATTTGATTCACTGGTGAGTTGATTATGCTTTTCTTCTTTTGGCTACAGGCTTAAGTGTTATATACTTAAGTAATGATTCCATTAAAATAATTTTAAAACATTCCATTAAGTAACCAGGATTCCATTTATGTTTTTCCCCCAAGTTACTCCATTAAAAAATATTTTTCAATTGATTGTTTTTTGTTCAGAAGTAATGGCCTCTTTCAAGCCTTTGTAGACAGAAAAGCTCTGAAGTCGATGTTGTAGAAACCTGGCCACAGTGTCCATGCCAGTGGGGGTCATTTTTCTTTTCATCATTCACATTGGCTACAATGTCTAAGTGTGTGAATATGTGGGTCCAGCTCAGAAAGAAGGAAGTGTAAGTATGGGGACTGGACTGTTTATTTTTGATGGAGAGATTATTACAGTCTTTAGTCTTTAACATGCTCAAACCAAAACCAAACAAGCAAACAAACAAAAAAAACTGTTTGGCACTGTAGGGTGAAATATAAAGAAGGTAAGAAAACACTAGCAAATGTGCATTGGCTGTGTTCTGAGCTGAAGTAAAAGCATTAGCAGCAAGAGGGAGCCGCTGTAAGCAGAATCTTCATTGTGAAAGAGCATCCTTCTTTTCCAAGAAACCTGGTTTATGCTTTTGTCTTTTGTTTTAAGGTAATTTGGGGAGAAGAGAATGACAGTACTCCAAGAACTTAATGAGATTAAGGTTTTCTGTTAATCCCATTATTACCACTATTGTATGAATGACAAATGTGAGTTTACATGTCAAACAGCTGTGGAAGTAATTTCTCAAATGCAAAGCAGATAAAACAAACAAATCAATCTTATTTCTTTTCACACCAATTTAGATTTTTTTTTCTTTCTTTGGTATAAAAAATATGAAAATCAACACATAGATTGTTGAGCCTGGTTTGGTAAAATACATATAGTTCAGACACAAGCTATCAAAAGACAACTATTTTTATCTCTGGTTATCATTATGATCATCATCTAGAGTAAACTATGGTTTGACCTGACTTAGGACAACCAACAACTTTTAAATCCCCATTCAGCAGATTCATCATCTCAACTTTAGAGCGTATGTTGCCTTACCAATGCCCTTGGGATCTAAAAGATGCCTTCCTACTGGTCATTTTAAGCAGGTTCTTACTTGTTGTCTTTATAGTAGTTTTTAATTAGTTTCTAATGCAATTTGACTAAAGTAATTGTTTCCTTAACTTAAATTAACTACATTGTTTTATATGTTATAATTTTCAGGCTTAGAAAACATTTACAGCAAAAACTTTTTAAAGTAACTTTGTAATTATAATTTCAACAGCTTAGTTTTCCATTTTCACACACTGAGAAGGCAACAGTTTTTATAAGAAAATGCACTATTGAAATCAACAATAATGAGCAAAACCATCACATCAAACAAAAAATCATTTAAACTTTCCTCTGTGGATACTTTGCAATATTCCCTGGAGGCAGGTTTATCTATGTTAGCTGCTATTTTTGTCTCAACTTGCCTAACAAATTATACATATTTGTAAATTGTTTCAAGTTTTCCTTTTGTTAATATACTCTGTGACAGTGTTAGTATCTAGTGGCAAACTAAAAGAAATAGAATTTTCAAAGAGAACCGGGAAACAGAAAGTGTGGTCTTATTTAACACACACTTTCAGTAAGGTATTTAAATTCTGGAACAGATGCTGTCCTTGTTGGACACTCGGCTATACCTGACAGAAAAGCAAATTGCTACGTTAGTCCTTAATCCAGGGTCAAATATTCCCATGATACCCAGATATTTCCAATTGGTACAGAAAGCACCTGAGTGGGTAACACTGTATAACCAATGCTCATGTATATGTATACCTACCTGCCCTCAAAAACCTTCATGAATATTAGATAAAGATAATGGACAAAGCAGTCATCATTAAAACTCTGGTCTCTTTAGTCAAACCTAAATTCTTTTTTTCAAAAATGAAAAGTTCACGTAGTGGAAATTGGCATATGCATGTTTGAGCCTACAGAGAAATGCTCCATCGAGTTTGGATATGCTTTCTAAATGGTTATTATAAGGAGAGTTATCAAAATTAAGTCCTTTCTATTCCAAATACAGATTTTTTTCAAGTTCAGTGTAAAAGAAATTTATAAATATTCTCCTTTAAAAAAAAAACAAAACCCAAACTAATTGTAACTTGAACTTCTATGCTATTGTTTGAGTAAGAACACTTAAGTGCTCCAACTCGAGTGTTCAACTCTAGTGAACACTAGAGTTCCAAGATCACCAGTTACTCCTCAATTATACCCAAAATAGTAAAGTGATGGTGTCCATCTACATTCTGCAGTTGGGAAAATTGAAACTTGTAGGAAGAATCAAACAGGTCACTTGAGCAAATCAAAAGCAAAGCATTAAGGCAAAGTCTTTTCAACTCTTTAAATTGCAGATTGTATGACTTTGTAAAACCACACTCAAAAATGTTCAGTAAGTTACTGTGGCATTTCTATTGAAAATCCTCGTTCTGTATTCTCATCTTTTTGACATGTACTTCTCTTATTCTTTTAAAATATTGTATCATTTTATGCCTGAGATGTAAAAGTAACCTGATTAGCCTGAATTTGAAAGCCATGGAAGGAGCTCATTGTCTCTTGAATGAAGCTTTGCTTCTTCTGTATTTAATTCAATGCAACATTAAGAATCAGTTAACTGTGGAAATTATCTGTTAGATGACAATCTCATCTTCAGTTCCTGCTTTATTTAGATACTAAATGGTAAGCATAAAAATGAAGAGGTCAACCCATCACTTTCCACCAGCTATTGTAATGAAAGAGATACTGCTTTAAAAAAAAAAACTGAAAGTTAAATCTCTGGGAAATTTCTCTAGAATATGAAAGTTCTTTTTTTTTTTCTGAAAGTTTTTTAAATTAATAGTTAATTAAAACCTTTTACTTTCACAGGAGATGCTCAGTCCCAGTATATTTTAAGGAAGAGAAATATAAAGGAAATTTAGTGTGCTTCTTCTCTTTCCATGAAGAGTATTTGAATTGTTTCCTTTACCTCTTAAAAGAGAATATCTGTTCTTGTATAACGTGACTGAATCAGAAATTGTGAGAAAGCAGCAAGAAGCAAAAGCTGGAAATCACTATTTCACAGCAGGTAATCATACCTCAGGATGTAGCTACTGTACAAAGTTTATACTTGGATAATCCTGGATGGGAATAAAGGTAGGGGGTAACCGCCTGAAAAACCTATTACTATACAGGCCTTAGCATCATGAATGGCTTTCTTCATGAGGATCTGAAGTTACTATCTCTGACCACATTGCACAGAAGAGCCAATAAGAATTTCAAAGAGGGCAATTTCCACTAAGGGAATTAAGCTACACAAAAGGAACCTTCACACAGAAACTCTATCAGAAAGGAAAAAAAAAAAGAGAAAGAAAATAGGAAGCCATGTGTCCTACATAGTAACAGGAAGCTGAATTGTTTCTGGCCCCATTTTAATGAGTTTACCCACCATGCTGAACCACAGCTGGAATGTTCATTGACAACAGCGCGCCTGATCTGGAGGTGTGTGCGGCATAGGATTACTTGAATAAACAGTGAAGAACATTTCCAAGGACTAAAAAAGAGCTTATAAGTCCCAACCCCTCATCAGGAAAATAATATATGTGCATTGGACTTTCACCCATGCAAAATTTACTCACATCGTTCAATAAGGTAGGAGAAATATTAAAGTATTTTTACTTTCATGCCTAAAATTATAAAGGCTAATTATACCTAAAACTACAGGAAAGATTATATTGTACAATAGATCCGTATAAATCTGTAATTCTCCAGTCCACGGGGAAAGTTGAATCATGTTACCTAGTTTAGAATTTGAAGAAAGAATAAATACACTGTGAAAACATGCTATGAGATAGAAAATAATGAAAAATGCAGATAAAGTCATTAAGCCATGCAGTATGAAACAAAACAAACAGAAGAAATAGTTTAACATGAAATGGAATTTTCCACTTTAGATCAGGTGGATATATTAGCCATATAAATTCTTTCCCTAAAGTAAATGAAAGATGCCTTATTATTTTCTTGTTAGAAATAACTTTAAACCATATTTTAATACTATTAATAAAAAGAAACAGCATTAATAATCAAAGCAAATGACCAGCTTTACTGAGACTGAGGATCTCAAAGTATGTGTAACTATTCCTGAATAGAAGAATAGATTTTTTTTTTCTACACGTTCTATACCTGTATTTCTACACCTGACTAAAAGGTACACTGAAAAAAAAATTTTCAAGAACAGCAAAGTCATTATCTTTAAATATAACAAATGATATTCCTGTATGTCAATTATTATGAATATTAAGAAAAAAAATAGAAACTTGATTAAGCTTGGTTAGTATAATGAAAATGTTTTAGGTTACTTAATAAAACAGTAATTATATTTAACATTTCAAAATCAAAGGGATTTAGTACATGATACTTTTTAATTTATATACCAGAAACATTTAAGGCAAAGAGATTGTATGATTGTGCTCATTGTTAGCTAGCAATTATCCTTAGTGTGCCCTTGTCCAAAAAATTAAAATATTAAAAGTGGTTATAGATGTTTTAGCTTCACATCTGTTCTAAGGATATCAGTATGCTGGCCTGATTGTTTTCTGTCATTCTTACTCCATTTTAGTGACAGAAGCTACCTTGTGTAAAGACCTCAACACTGCTGACCATGATCAGCCCAGCCTGGAGCCTCTTCCTCATCGGGACTAAAATTGGGCTGTTTTTTCAAGTGGCACCTCTATCAGTTATGGCTAAATCCTGTCCATCTGTGTGTCGCTGTGATGCAGGTTTCATTTACTGTAATGATCGCTTTTTGACGTCCATTCCAACAGGAATACCAGAGGATGCTACAACTCTCTACCTTCAGAACAACCAAATAAATAATGCTGGGATTCCTTCAGATTTGAAAAACTTGCTGAAGGTAGAAAGAATATACCTATACCACAACAGTTTAGATGAATTTCCTACCAACCTCCCAAAGTATGTAAAAGAGTTACATTTGCAAGAAAATAACATAAGAACTATCACTTATGATTCACTTTCAAAGATTCCATATCTGGAAGAATTACATTTAGATGATAACTCTGTTTCTGCTGTTAGCATTGAAGAGGGGCATTTCGAGACAGCAACTATCTCCGGCTGCTTTTTCTGTCCCGGAACCACCTTAGCACAATTCCCTGGGGTTTGCCCAGGACTATAGAAGAACTACGTTTGGATGATAACCGCATATCTACCATTTCTTCACCATCTCTTCAAGGCCTCACTAGCCTGAAACGCCTGGTTTTGGATGGAAACCTGTTGAACAACCACGGTTTAGGTGATAAAGTTTCTTCAATCTAGTTAACTTAACAGAACTGTCCCTGGTCCGGAATTCCTTGACTGCTGCACCAGTAAACCTTCCAGGCACAAACCTGAGGAAGCTTTACCTTCAAGACAACCACATCAACCGGGTACCCCCAAATGCTTTTTCTTATCTAAGGCAGCTGTACCGACTTGATATGTCCAATAATAACCTAAGTAATTTACCTCAGGGTATCTTTGATGATTTGGACAACATAACCCAACTTATTCTTCGCAACAATCCCTGGTATTGTGGGTGCAAGATGAAATGGGTACGAGACTGGTTACAGTCACTACCTGTGAAGGTTAATGTGCGTGGGCTTATGTGCCAAGCCCCAGAAAAAGTTCGTGGGATGGCTATCAAGGACCTCAATGCAGAACTGTTTGATTGTAAAGACAGTGGGATTGTAAGCACCATTCAGATAACCACTGCAATACCTAACACAGTGTATCCTGCTCAAGGACAGTGGCCAGCTCCTGTGACCAAACAACCAGATATTAAGAACCCCAAGCTCATTAAGGATCAACGAACTACAGGGAGTCCCTCGAGAAAAACAATTATAATTACTGTGAAGTCTGTCACCTCTGACACAATTCATATCTCCTGGAAACTTGCTCTACCTATGACTGCTTTAAGACTCAGCTGGCTTAAATTGGGCCATAGCCCAGCGTTTGGATCTATAACTGAAACTATAGTAACAGGGGAACGCAGTGAATACTTGGTCACAGCCCTGGAACCTGACTCGCCCTATAGAGTATGCATGGTTCCCATGGAAACCAGTAACCTCTACCTATTTGATGAAACTCCTGTTTGTATTGAGACTGAAACTGCACCCCTTCGAATGTACAACCCAACAACCACCCTCAATCGAGAGCAAGAAAAAGAACCTTATAAAAATCCCAATTTACCTTTGGCTGCCATCATTGGTGGGGCTGTGGCCCTGGTGACCATTGCCCTTCTTGCTTTAGTGTGTTGGTATGTTCATAGGAATGGATCGCTCTTCTCAAGGAACTGTGCATACAGCAAAGGGAGGAGAAGAAAGGATGACTATGCAGAAGCTGGCACTAAGAAGGACAACTCTATCCTGGAAATCAGGGAAACTTCTTTTCAGATGTTGCCAATAAACAATGAACCCATCTCTAAGGAGGAGTTTGTAATACACACCATATTTCCTCCTAATGGAATGAATCTGTACAAAAACAATCACAGTGAAAGCAGTAGTAACCGAAGCTACAGAGACAGTGGTATTCCAGACTCCGATCATTCACACTCATGATGCTGGAGGACCCACAGCAGACTATGTTTCAGGTTTTTTTAAACCTAAGGGAGGTGATGGTAGGAACCCTGTTCTACTGCAAAACACTGGAAGAGAGACTGAAGAAAAAGCAATGTACTGTACATTTGCCATATAATTTATATTTAAGAACTTTTTATTAAAAGTTTCAAATTTCAGGTTACTGCTGCGATTGATGTAGTGGAGATGCCTGAACATAATTCTATATTTAGTATTTTTTAGTAATTTGTACTGTATTTTCCTTGCAGATATTGAAGTTATAAACCATTTACTTTGTGTTCTACTGAGTAAGATGACTTGTTGACTGTGAAAGTGAATTTTCTTGCTGTGTTGAACAATCAGGACTGCGTTCACATGAGATCCTTGTAGTATAAGCACAGGCCATTTTTCACTTTGGTATTAATAAAATGTAAAAAAAAGAACTGGCTGAATGAGAAAAAAATAAATTAAAAAATAGTTACAGAATAATGTTCCAATTATTAAATTTGTATTATCCCAGTGGTATTCAATAAATCAAAGTATGTGAAATAATGGGCAATATCAAACTTGCTGCACATCTCCGTTTTTGCCCTAGGCAAATTAAATATCCTTAAGAAAGTTATACATAACTTCTGAACTGAATACATCAGCTGGCATAAAAGGAGCTTGAAGTCTGTTCTTAAAGCCATTGTCAACAAAGCTTTAAGAATAAAGGACTTCAGAAAAAACAATAATGTAAGTGTGTTTCTGACTTGGGGGGATGTGTACTTAGAAAAACATGAAATTTAGACTTGTATATGTAATAAACACAAATATTAGAATTGCATTTTGGTTTTGCCTATACCATGCTGAGTTTTGAAAAGTGAATTCTAAACACAAAATTATTAGTGTTTATAATGCTTTTATTATAAAAGATGTCAAAGAGAACTCTTATGCATTATAAAAGATAGCATAACCATAAGCAATTCTACCTCAGCAATCCAGAGAAAGTAGTACTTTAAATAAGTGACAATTTAAAAGAAAAATAAATATTAGAAATCAAATTTAGATTTGGTTTATGTGAAATGTTTTTTACACTGTACATAAATGTTCAGTTTGCTTTCACAATAATCAAGAATACTGCCCATTACTGTCACAGTTTTCCAACTATTACATAATGAACTTGTAATATTTCTTTATCGCTTCCTACTGAATTGTAAGCTATTATTTGTTTAAAAAACACATTACTTTTTGTTGCCATGATTTTTTTTTCAACAAAAAACCAAAGTGCATTGTACGCCCTTTGGCCAGTCTTGTATGTGCCTTGATCCAATGCTACATGTATTCAGCTTTTAAAACTCGACAAATTTTTCATACTTCCTTAAATATGAAAAATTATGGTCCTAATGCTGAATAAAACTTAAGAAAAAAGTACAGAATAATCGTGCTTGCTTTCAGGACTATGTTACTATCACTAAAGTAGCAAATTGCCCAGCACATTAGTTCTAAACACCCCATGTATTTTTCTAGCATAAAAATAAAAGTTGGCTACAAATAAAAAAATAGCATTATCTTGAGGTGGTGTATCATTTTGCTTCAAAGAGTCAGCATTTCAATTGTAAATTCATTTCTCTCATTTTGCTTACATACTCTACAGATGGAAAACTTTAGAAATGGTTCCAAGGCCTTTTCCTTTTACGTGCACTGTTGCTGTTGTCCTAACTGATACTTTTTAAGGTGGTCTTCGAAAAGCGAATTTGTTTTTTAAAGAGGTTTTGTTTTTTTTTTAGAGTGAGTTGTCATCAAAGGATCTGAAATCTCATATCTACCACTTGGTAGGTTTGTACTTGAAAACAAAGCATCCTTCCTGGCTCAGTTTCCATAAATGTAAAGTGTAGTGTTAATAATGTCACTCACCTCACAGTGTCATCAGTATTGAAGAGACAATGTGCATGAAAGCTATTTGCCATTCTGCGAAATTTGTTACCACATTATCATCAAGAAAATCTGTTGTGTTGTCAGAGGTTTGCTAGCTATTGTTGCTTCTACTACTTTGCTGACAGATCTCCAACTAACTATGAAGTCTTATTCAGTATTCATTTGCCATATGCAAAATGTTTCTCAACAATTTTCTTTTGACTTCGTAATGGAGGATGGCTATTTCCAGGAGAAACTTAACAAAAACAATTATATTTAATATTAAATATGTAGAACTTTCTCTGAATGAAGTTTGACTTTGCTTCTAGAGATTTTTGAATGATCCAGCTATAAGTGCTTCTACAAGTCAGGGAAATCCATGGCTTATAAAAAGTTAAAAGTAAAGATATTATGTTGACTGTTTTCCAATTAGTATAACTTTCATGAGCACAGAAAAATTTATGTATACCCCTTTTGGACTGTTTCATGTGCAATAAATCAGAAACATATTTTATGCTAACAAATACACTGAGCACCTAGAAGCAAAATGTTCATTTCTTATCTAGGCTTGCCATGAAATCCAATGCGCGCGCACGCGTGTGTGTGTGTGTGTGTGTGTGTGTGTGTGTGTGTGTATTTTTATATAAGAAAGAGAGACAGAGAATAGAATATCAAGACACAGTCTCTGCCTTAAAGGGCAACAAATAATAATATACACACTTCCATTTGTCCCAAACTAAATGTTTACATTTTTTACTGAGAAAACAAAACTCTAAATCAGGTACTAACAGAATACTATAGAAAGGAAACTCCAATCTTGAATATATAGAATATAGACTTAACAAGAATGCAACTTGGATAGCTATAAAAAATAGAAATGAAAGTCACTCCCTTGTAAATGTTTGACAAAAATCAAAAGTTATTTTTAGATTCAGTCACTGTAACTGCGTGTACTCACTTATGCTTATACTCTCATCACCTATTAGAAACAACACTGTGCTCTTGTCTTTCAGCAAGGCTGATTGATTAAAAGTATTCCCCTGTTAAACTAGGAACTAGTTAAAAAAATACTACAGTTTGTGACTACAGCACATTTTGTGACTTCATGCATCATGACAGTTTTCATGAGGAATCCAAAGCTACATGCTCTAAGATACCTGAAGAGTGGGTATTAAAGGAACCAAACCACTACTGAATTATTTTAGCATTAGCTCATCTGCTGCTGAAAACAATAGTGGCCTTTAAAATTATAATTCTTCTTTCCTACTTAGCATGATTAACAAATCTTAATTTAGCACAATACTGGAATTATAACTACTGTACATTTTTGTGAAGACTTGGTTAAATTAGCAAAAAATAACTCACATTATTGATCACTTTAAGAACTTCAAAGTTCTGTACAAGCAATGATTTTATTGAGTGACTTCTAAATTACCAATAACAAAGGGTTTGCCTTGAAGAAGTGCACTGTCTAGAGATTGAAAGGCAGAAGCATATAATGAACATTTTCTACTTCTGCAGTAAAGAGGAAGAAGCAATTACATCTATCTGAATGGATCAAGGAAGACCTTGTGAATTTGAGCTGGATGTGGAAGGGTAAGAAGGAAATATAGTAAGATAGCAAGAAAAACAGATAGGAGACTTAGAAAATGGTGAACAAAATCACAAAGACAGGTAGCCAGTATTTCCCAACTCTGGCTTTGATCAAAATCATTGAGAAAGGCTTTTATTAGGTAATAAGGACTAGATACAGACTTAATAAATTAAAACCTCTGTGAAGGAAGTAAGACTGTAAATATTTGGGATTTTTGTTAGTTGATTTTTTATTTAAGATCAGGCTTTATAGTATTTTAAATTCCAAGCTGAGACATCTACTTTAGCAATGTTTTTTGAGCAAGTATAAGAAGTCAATGCACTTTAGGAAATTTGTGGAAACAGACAATATTGTAGATGAATGAGGAAAAATTGTCAGCAAATATACAAGTTAGAAGGCAATGCAGTATTCCAGATAATAGGAAATAAGGGCCTCAACAGTGCATAGCTAGTGCATTGGGGTTTAAAAGCAGAAAAAGAAAAGTCTAATGAGAAAAATACAAAAAAGAGTAGAAAAGATGATGGAAAACAGTAGAGGAGAAGCATATTTCAGAGTATTTTAAACTGTATATTGGTTTGAATAGGTGACTAGGTTCAGTAGATTTATATTTTCTAATTTTAATAGTGCCCTCTTTAATTCTCAATAGTGACTCAGTTTAAATGATCAATTAAAACCATCTAAGGTTCAAAGTACTTTTATCTTAGCCCTCTGGAAATGTATATGAGTTTTAAAAAATAGAGTCCAGATGTTCAGCATCAGGCAAGGAAATCCATATATAAGAGGCTGTTACTAAATTGAGACGGTGGATGAGACCGCTAACAGAAAGAGCAGAGAGAAAAGAGATGCAAAGGAATTTCAACCTTTGTAAAGGTAGAAGAAAGGATTTAAACCAAACAATCAAATAGTAAATAAACAAACAAAAGAGGATTAAGGAGGAAAAACCATCATGGGAAGAAAATATTATGGAAACAAGAAACTAAAACTATTTTAAAAATAAGAATGTCAAAAATGTATTTAGGATACTACCATGGTAAAAGGATATTACTGAATATGGAAAAGAGACCTGCAGAGTGTAAAAGCAATGTTTACAGAGCAATAAAGTCAAGCCTCTAGGGTATTGACAGCAAGATAAAGAAACAGAAACAATGATTAAGATAACTCTTCTAAGGAGCTAGGAGGGTGAAGGGTCTTGGTAGGTTATGAGGGGAATAAGAAAGATAGAAAGAAAGTAAATACCAGGAGAGAGATTTATTAAACCTCAGGAATAAGATGAGGTATAGGTATGGGAAACTAGAATGAGCACAGGGGAATATATTTAATAGAAGAAAAGAGAATTAAAAAGCTCAAGGTTTTGAAAAGAATGCTAAGAAAAGTTCCCAATCACTTGGGCAACTAGAACTCAACAGAAAAAAGATTGCAATGGGCCAGTGGAAGCAGTTAGAGATAGACAAGACAAGAAGTCATACTCTAAGATGGAAAGGGACATAAAGGTAGAACACAGAGCAGTGGAGCTGCATCTAAGAACTGCAACTGATGATGACAGCTAAAAAGGAGGCTGACCATGAAAGTCTGCAGATACTCCTATTCTAAATAACATAAGCATTTT